CAAAATGGTGCCTGCTGGCACAGAGAAATCCATTTTGGGACGTAGCAAAAAACGATAAACACAGTTATATACAAATAAAGGGCTAAAGGAGAGTGATTTAGTCATGTTTTACCCATGGCAAGTTAGAGGTGGAACCAAAGTATATTGTTGCATTGCGGATATATTTTCATGTAACACCTACTAGCAGACGAGATTTCGTCCACAATCAGAGATCGTGCTTGTCAGTGAGGCTTTTAAAGATTAAAACGGTACCATTTATTTTCTTACGCTACTGTAACTTTCCGGAAGACACGTAAGGTATTTATTTTATTTCATGTGTTTGACTTTATCTCACGCGAGAGGCTAATTTAGATTGTTTTAGGCTAGTTAAGCTAGCCGACGTTTACCGCTGTGCGTCGGCTAAAGCATTCCTTCCGCTATCCGTATTCACTTTTAGGTGCAATTTCAAATAAAACATGACGAGTATAGCTAGTAAGGTGTTTTGCAGGGTGGAGAAGATGTGTCACCACCTCCCTGTGGTCCTTAACACGTTCTTGGTTTTCTCCATAACCGGAGAGGTGAGTTACCTGGTGTCGGTGGAGGCTCCGCTGGAGCCAGACCAGAAGAAGACTCAGTGGTCTTCTCGGTGGAAATTAATCCACTTGCTGGCCCAGTATTTCATGTTGGGGAACATCTGCTGGAACGCCCTGCTCTTCATGAAAACTAGTCCCAGTATCAAGGGAGTGTTCCTGGGAGGAGAAGTCCTCGGCCAAGGGTGGAGGTGAGGATTAAACAGCTGTAGAAATGAACATTTGATGCACAGCTTTTTTTTTGTTTAATATTGCCACCTATCTACAGCTACCTGCTTTGTGCGCTTCGGGTTTGTTGTTGTTGTCGTCATGATTTGATAAGAATCTTGATTTAAATAATGTTCTGGGCAACTAATTTGTATTTTGTAACTTTCATAAAGCATCGAATCAGAAAAACTACTTCCTGTATGCTTCCCTATCCTGCCCAACATAAGCTATAAGCAAGGGAGAGGCAAGAGTTCCTTGACATATTGTTTTAGGCTTTAAAGAAAGACAAGCTAGGAAAAACACTGAATCCTAACAGATTATTTGTGACTTAGATGTGAGATGAGATGTTTATGTTTGAGTGAAGTGATCAGATTAAATTTGCAGTAAATCTTTGCTTACAACTGTGCAATGTGATAGTGGGGGTGGGGGGGATTACATAACAAGGTTTAGCATTGCATAACATGTACTGCATGTTAACAAGAAATATAACCTCTGCTGTCAACTGAAACAGATTGTATGTTTTCTAAAATCTGAAAAATGCGAGATCGGGAACCATAAATAATTAATTTAATGGCAGCAAAGAAGTGAGATTTTTGCTTTTTGCCAGATCTAAAGTTTGCTTCACACTTTATTCCAAAGCAGGTGTTCATTTGAATTATTAACGTGTGGCTCAACACAATCTTTATTTTTGATGCTCACAATGAAATAATTTACTAATAACCATACATTAAAAAAAAAGTCTGTCTTTTATTCAAAGGTACTGTTACACATGTGAGACGCACACTCCTCCGCGCTGTTCCCACTGCTACGACTGCAAGGTGTGCGTGCTGCGGCGGGATCACCACTGCGTCTTTTTTGGCCAGTGTGTGGGCTTCCGCAATTACCGCTACTTCCTGAGCTGCTTGTTTTTCATGTGGTCGGGGCTCCTGTACGCCACCCTGATGAACGCAGAGGTCTTCATTGTCATCTTGAAGGAGGGTGTGACGGTACACAGCATCCTGCTGCTGCTCATACCCTGGATCATGCTTGTTTCAGGTACGATCTGGTTTGTCACAGCTGGAGCGTCTCATGCACATTATTACTGTGATACTAACTGTTTGGCACTCTGTTTGAACTTAATGATGTTGCTAACTGAACATAATGTATTAAAACTGAAGGAAAGAGGATACTGTCATCTCTGCTTAAAGAAAAATTATCGTTATTGCTGTCTGATTTCACCTGGTATTGGCTGATATTCCCACTGTTGACTGGTATCATTACTGATCACATATCTTAGTAACCACAAAAAAAAATCAGCTAAATGTTAATATCAGATCCAAATATACAGTTAGTTCATCTCCATTATTTTTACATCTCTGACTATTAAGATCTATGAAAAAATAGTTCAAATTATTCAGAAATACATATTTTAGTTTGTATTTTAGAAACTCTACGGGTTAAGTAAAACTGATACTGTCTTCGTGCCTCTGGTTGATTGGTGATGAGATGAATCACAGACCTCAGTTTGCCTGGATTTGTTATCACTTGCTGTGATTTAATGTGTGCTGCTGTTTCTCGTCACCCCAGGCCAGGTCTCAGCGCGTGCCTTTGCCTTCGCATTCATCGCAGACACATGCGTGGTGGGTTTCCTGCTGGTGTCTTCCTTCTTCTTCTTCCATCTCTACCTGCTGTTTCGTGGTCAGACCACCAGGGAGTGGTATTCCTCCCGCCGACCCTACAGCCTGGGACTCTTTGGCAACCTGCATCACACGCTGGGCCTGCGTTGGTACATCTGCTGGCTCTGCCCTCTCATCACCTCGCCACTGCCAGGAGACGGCATAAACTTCCAGGTCACAGGATCGCTGGAGCCCTCGCGGTAACAGGTGCTGATCGGAGCGGACCGAGTGTCTTTACTTTAGTGGTGGTGGTTAATGTTATCGGGAGCAGCAGGGGAACTCATCTTAGTTCAAGAAGAGGTAGCTTGGAGTGGGAAGAAAGTAGAATTGTCTGTGGCTGTGTAATGTGTTGGTGGGTGTAACTCACTGCCAGTGTCTACTCTGTAGATTCTGTGCTGAGACAAAGAAATTAAGGGTCTTCTTTTGGTGGTACATTGATCTTAAATGGTAATCCGTACACTCAGCAAGGCTGGCCTCAGAAAATGAACACAGAAACTCAATGTGTTCATCTTGCAAGCGAGTACTGATAATACATGTTTAAAAATAGCACTGAAATAAGAATGTATTTTGACTGAACAACGTTCAGTTTTAATCCTTGTTGAGAAGCACTCACAATCTCTGACAGTGACGCCTCGTGGGAGTGTTGATAATAGCTGCTTTCTTGGGTTTTCCCTACCCTGAGGCTGCCTAAATCCGAACGCTACACAAGTGTGGCTTACGCAGTTCCTGATTACTCCACTGGATTGTAAAATACACAATCATTTGCCTCTATTTTGCTGTTGCTCTGAGAATGCTCCTGAGTTTATTAAACTGACCTTTTTAATTGGATTCTGCTGTGGCAGGTGGAACAGTGGGAGACACAAAGGAGCGATCTTAATGTCTTCAGCACAACATTAATTTGAAATAAATAAAAATAAACACTGAAATGGTGTGGGGGGAAAAAGTGCAAAATATGACAGTTTATGTTTACTGAATGCAGTATTTAAAATGTACATGCTTATGATGTGTGAACTGTTTTGCCTCCATGCTTGATATTTCATTAAGCAGCGTCCGTGTCCTCATTCTGTACCCTATACGTTACATACTGTATAAAAATCTTTAGAGCATCCTGTTTTTGCCTATAATTAACCAGTTTTTGCATACAAACACATTCAAACTGTTATAATTGATGACTATAGAGTCTTTCTTTTTTCACGAGGTATCCCTGTAACCGTTTACCTGTCTTGAGTGTACTTCATCCTGTCAAGTGCTTCAGTTCAGAATAATATGGAAGAATGCGAACATGTCAGTTTTAATTGATGCCAAATGAATTTCCTTTACCTCCATGTATTTTACTCCTTGGCAGCTTTTATTTTTCTTATTTTAATTCTTCTGACCTAAGTGTACTGAAAAATTACAAGCCTTTTTTTGTTTGTTTTTACTGGTTGCCAAATTTTATATTATTATTATTTACAACTGTTGTTAGTTTCTTGCCAAAAGATATCATTTTGTTTGGTTGATTATTGGGTTTTGCCTTTTAAAGGTGTTTGCTTGAAGGGATTTACCACTGAGAAATGTTTAATTTTAATATTATTCTATTTTTGTTAAAGTTGTTGTGCTGAAATAATTAAATTTTGGGTTTCAAAAGTTGTAACTTTTTTCTAATTTGCATCACTTTAAACTGCAATTGTTGTCATGTTTGACAAATAAAAATAATTCTTATTCCACAATTCCAAATAGATCCTGTTCAAAAAGGAAACATTATAAAAACAATTATAAAAATCACCAAAAGATAAAATCTTTGCCATATTTTATGGCAGTGTACTTATGTATGTCGAGATGGAAAAGGGGAAGAAAGGTGATTTAAGTAACTGAACATAGACCAATCCATCTGGCACCAACAACAAAGCCGAGTTTCAGAAACTGCTGGTCCCCTTGGAGTTTCGTGTACAGCCATCTGAAAATAACTGAAAATATCCCGAGTTCAGAGAAATGCATAAACTGAAAGGAAGGCAACGGCAAATTAAATAATTACTTGTTACAACCAAAGTATGAAATCAAAACACATTGAACCTTGAAGAAGATGGGCTACAGCAGCAGGCGACTACGTCAGGAGACAGAAAACTGAGGCTCACCAAAATAAAACAATATAAGATGGGAATAATACTGGTATGGCATGCTGAGACTCAATTTGTTCTGTGACAGGGGATATTCTATTACCACTTTGGGATGAACTAAGCATTTAAATATCCACAGCCTGCCTCTGGCCATGTCCATCCCTGTGTGACAGAGGTTTACCCATCTTCTAATGGATGGTTAACCACAAAGCTCAAAACATCCAAGACAGGTTTCTTGAACACAACACATACAAATTGTCGTATTTGTCTAATATTGAACTAATAATTGCAACTGAAGCGAGCAGCAATATCTACCAGTACAGTTTACATTTTTTCCACATGGCAGCAACTTTTCTGATCCCTTATCAGCAGTATCAGTGAGTCTTACAGTTATACTGCTATATGAATTTGTTATAAACTAGATGGAAATAAGCGATTTGATAAAAGTGCATTTATTGTGAAGCCTGCCCAACTAATTGCTGCCATGGTAACCAGCTTGTATGGAAGCTAGATCCTTGGTAGTTAAGCTACTGTGACCAGGTATCCAAGTAGCAAAGTGTTCCTGTACTGGTAAGGTTTTTAGCTTGTTAGTTTTATACAGCTACAACACCACTGAAACACTTTTATAAGCTCTGTTAGAAATTGTCTTTATTGCACAAAGTTGAATTTAATTTAACTAACGCTAACTGAAAAAATTGTAAAGCTGTCCATTAGCTTGCACGTTTTTTACCTTGCATTAGCTTTTCCCCCCTCCATTTTAGTATGTTTAAACATTTATGTAAAGTTACAATAATGCTTGCATGTGTGTCTGTATTTAAAAAAAACTTAACCATTTTGTAAACGACAGTTAAGTTCTCATAACTTATTAGCTGTAATTATTCGCATTTAAGTTAACCGTTAGCTAAGCCTAAGTCTGTTTTTATTCATTTTCAAGCTAACGTGGCCTTAATCATACCTCCATCTATATTTACATTAACAGCAAAATGTTATTCTACTTAAATGTGTGATGTCCTGGTCTTGCCTGCAAGGCCAAAACAGATATACCTCATATGAAGCATTTCTGGTTCAGTCATGTTAAAAAAAAGGACTTGATGCAAAAACTAAGTTAACTAGTTAGTTAACTAACAAACCCTTACTATAGCCATAGCAAGTAATAGGGCAAGTAGCAGCCAGTTGCTCCAAATGTAAATGATTAACTTACCTTAAGCAAGTACCAGCACCTCTGTAAAAGCAGGAGTTTAGGCATTTTACTGGGCTGAAGCATTCAGGTGTGTGTTAACACAATGCCTCTATCATCCCAGGAGTGGACATCCCAGCATATTCAAGTTCAGATTGTGCAGTGCTTAGTGAAACTGCAAAAACCCAAGTGCTACATCTCAATCTCTGCAAGCCTCGATTAGCATATTAATTGTTAAAGTTCATGACAGTATAGTTATGAAAATAATGAACAGGTAGGCCTTCTTTGGAGTCGTTACCAAGAGAAAGCCTCTTCTGTAAAAGTGTCAGCATGGCTTAGCTTTATTACATCTGAAAAAACGATGATACTTCTTTGAAAAAGACAAGACCAAAGTGAAGATGCTTAGACATAATGCTCAGTGACATGCTGTGTTGGGCAAAAGCCAAGCACAGCACGTCAGCACAAACATCTCATGCTCACTGTCAAGCACGGTGGTGGAGGGGTGGTAAACTTGTTTTGCAGTGGACAATGAACTACTCTAAATACCAGTATTTTAGTCTTATGTGAAGCCACATGTCCAACAGCTAAAACCTGTTTGAAATCAGGTCAAGCAATAGGACAATAATCCACAGCAGCAAATCTACAAAAGAATGGCTAAAAAAGAAAGTAATCAAGGTGCTACAAAGGTCCAGACCTCATCCCAAATTTAAATGCTTTGACAGAACATTTAAAGAACTGCAGATAAGTGTATCCCAGCAAACCTCAATGAACTGAAGCAAAACTATGAAGATGAGGGGGCCAGAATCCCTGCACAATATTGTAAAAACTTTCTTTTTCACATGACTGTAGTGGCCTAGATAAATTAAATACATCATGGTTTTTCATGGCACAAAATTGTCTTTGGGACAATTTTGTGCCATATATTTTTGTTACTTTACCTAATAGAAACCTGTGCATTTGCTTGTTCTTTCTTGCCAAAATGTATTTATGCTTGAGTAAATAAAGTCTACTTGAAATCTAGTTGAAATCTAAATTACTTTCAACACCATTCACTTCCAAAATTTGTATTGTGGCTTTGTCACTATTTTATATGAATTTTGACAAAAACATATGTTGATCACAGCAGGGTAAGGAATACGCCAACTCAATGGATGTCATAGAGGAAAACATGTGAGTGATGCTTAATGAACACACACACAACCGGTTGGACTTACTGTGCAGCATATGACCTTTTTCTGTGATGTGCATGTGCAGGTCATCAAAGGAGATGCTTGAGAAAATAGCAGAGCTGGAATACAGTCAGAGTCTGCTGAGAGATCAAAATGCTGACATGAGGAAATTGCTCGATGGTGCAGATGATGACATGGCAGCACTGGGTTCGGAGAATAAGTCCCTCAGAAAACAAGTTGAAGCGTAAGTTAAGACTGTCACGAGTTGATTGTGGAAGGGTCACTTCCGTTTCGTCTCCCTGTCATTCGGTGGCATTCAGGTGCAAGTGTCACATGTTTCCATATTTTGGCTTCCAGTAAAACATTGTGGTTTATGTTTGTTTGGGAAAAGTCTGAAAGAGAAAGATTGTTATCTTTGGCCCTGAGGACAACAGCAATGTTTCTAAGGCTACGTTTACACTGCAGGCGAAAGCGCATCAAATCCGACTTTTCTGACCCTACGCGACCCATATCCGATCATGGTATGACAGTGTGAACAGCACAGATCTGATATTTTCAAATCTGATCTAGGTCACTTTCGTATGTGGCACTGAATCTGATACATATTTGATTTTTTAGAAAGCAACTGCTGTTTAAACGGTCATGTCGCATTAAATCCGTCTTTTACGTCACTGACACAAGACAGACGCCAATTGTCAGCGCTGGAGAAGATATCGCGAACGCTTCCTGGCCATCCAGTGTAGATGTTAGTGAAACTGTTGGGAAGACAACGTTGGAGAAACGTGAACATTTTGTTTGTACTGTATAATCTGCAGATTCTGACAGAAATCTGCAACTATCCTTTGAAGCACCGCTCCTCTAAAACAGCAATAAGGATAATTATTAGGCCATATGTAAATAACAAAATAACTTTATAACTTTAAACAAAATTGGGAAACGTAACGTCCGAAACAAGTCTTTATATTAAAGGCCATCAGTCAAACAATACTGTTTGGGTCTAAACAGAGCGCGTTGTGTGTGACATCCTCTTTTGCGCATGCGGGCCGCTTTGAGGGCCGTGAACGGTTCACACTAGAGCGCGTTTGCTGTCACATTTTATTTGTAGTGTGAACAAGCAGACAAAAAAATCAGATTTGATCAAAAAATCGTAATTGAGCATTAAGACCTGCAGTGTGAACGTAGCCTAATTCTTGCTTTGAATTTAATGAAACAATCCAGTACTTTATCAGGTTGAGTTTTTAATATTTTACTAATTTCAGATTAATCTTGCTGTTTTATTGTTGCCTGTGAAATACTTTGCATCTCGCTGTTAGATCTCTACCTCCATGATTTTTTTTTTAATAAATCAAAGATACAACCTTTTTTTGTTTGTTTTTTAATTTAAACCTATTATAAGTCAGTTGTTATTACTGGATAATTGTGCTTTTTTTTTAATGGTGATTTTATGTATTAGGTTCTCTTCTTTTTTAGCAATGTGGTCAGAAGCTTAAAACTGTCACTGTGTGTCTCCAGCATGGAGAAAGTTTTCCAAGACTTGCAACAGACTGAAGCGGAGCCTTGCATAGCTCTGGCAGATGACTTCGAGGCACACAGACGGAATGAAGAAAAGATCCGTGAATTGGTTCGTAAGAAGTGTTTGAAATATAGCAGAGGAATTATCTAATCCCCAGCTGAATTTGTAAGTTTGCTCACTTACAGTGAAATAAACAGTGTCTAGTTTTTATGGTAGTTTCATTTTAATGGAGAGATGTGAGCCAGTGTGGTACATAGATTACAGTCAATCAATAACAGACTTGTTATATGAGTAAAGCAGTCCTATCCTCAGAATCAATTTCTTTGATTCTGACACCCGCAAGGTTCCCCTGCTCAAGCAAGCACATGTACAGGCCCATCTTAAGTTTGCCATGGTACAGCTAAATGATTCAGAGAAGGTTTGGGAGAAAGTGATGTGATCAGGTGAAAGCAAAATCGAGCTCTTTGGCATGAACTTGACATGCCGCGTTTGGAAGTAGAGAGATGATGACCCAGTGAGCGCTATCTCCACAGTCAGGTACAGAGGTGGAATCGTTATGCTTTTTCTGCTAACAATATGAGAAGTCCCTAAAGTCATGGAAGAGAACCCCCTTCCATGGATGGGTTTTCAACTAACGACCCAAAACAACAATGTGAAGCATGTTAAGGAGTAGCCTATCAGTCCCATAGAAAATCTGTGAAGGAAGCTGAAGCTTTGATTTCTCAAGCAGCAGCCAAGAAACCTCTAAAGGATTTAGCAAGTTTATGTAAAGAGCAGTGGGCCAGAATCCCTCCTGACATGTGTGCAAACCTGGTGGTAACTACAAGAAACATCTTCAACAGTTTCTCCACCAAGTGCTAAGTCATGTTTTATTATTTCATTCAATGGCACAGAAATCAATTTACTACTTTTATGTAATGTGTTTTTTTCTGAATAGTTGATTGTCTGTCTCTCTCCATTAAAAAAGAACCATAAAAATTGGAGACTTGTGATTTCTTTGCCAGTGAGCAAACTTACAAATCCAGCCGTGGATCAAATCATTATTTCCCCCAGTGATATTTAAGCTTCATAAAATGTAGATGTAATGTTGCACTGATTGCTGGTTTCTCTCAGCGAGTTCACTTCAGATGAACCTTCATGTTTTTGTGTAGGAGAAGGAATCCACCGTGATGAAGGAAAAATATGAGAAACTAGCTGCAGAGGTAGATATGCATTACTTTTCACATTCACTAACAACTTTAAACACTCATATTTTATAGCTTCAGTGTGCAGTGATACATGCTTATTTATCTTGGATGAATTTTGCTTTTGGGTTTCAGTTTTGACATCTTAAGTTTTGCAGAAACTTGGTAAGCTGTGTCTAAATATAAATATAATTGATTTTTTTCAGCTCAAAAGCCTCCAGCAAGAGATAGACCAGGACAAGCTCACACTGAGCAACCTCAAGTTTGAAATTCAGGACTTGAAGGTAACGTTATCAATTCCACCATGGTTATACCCACCTCGATGTCACACATTAGTAAAGTTATGAAGCCTCCAACTGAGTGTTTTTCGTTGCCTTATTATAGTTTTGAAACTGAATGTGGCAAACAAGGAGTGTATCTGACTGCAAAAACAAGGACAGCCCATTCTTATGTGATTGACAAGTTATTTAAAAACAAGAATACGGTGCATAATCCTCTTTTTTTAGCTCTAATAATGTCCATAATCTACAAAATGAATGTTTTATTCAGAATGATCTGATATTAATGAGCTCATAAAGATCCCAGGAGCGTGTCATATCATAGATCAAGGAAGCTGAGTGCTACAGTCTTTTATACAACCGGAAGACTTTAAAAAATAATGCAGATGTAAAAAACGTCCACATTGGTTTCACTTGACAAACCTGAATGACATGAGTATATAGTATTTTGATAATCTTCTTTTCTTCTGTATTTTGTGTGTTTTTTTAGTTTCAAAGGGAAGAGGACCAGTCAAAACTGGAGCACAAGAATGAGGCTCTTCATCGGGCAAGTGTAAGATCAGCATCGATGTCAATACAAAGCAGTGACTGACCAACAGTTTCAGATTTTCTCACAAACATTAACAGTAAAGATTGTCACAGTTCTCTGTTGTTTATTATTTTACCATTTCTTTATAGATAGACTTGCAGTTGAATCAATTAAATGAAACCGTGGAAGAGTGCTTCAACAATATAAAGGTAAGAATGTTTTATCCATTGATATCTAATCCAACATTAAACCAAAAAAAGTATAATTTATGCAATTTATTCATGCGATGCAACTCTTTATCACATGGATTTCAAACTGTGTCAGTGATTGGCAGACTATTGACAAGAGAGACATTTCCTTTGTGTGATGATGTGTGAGCTTGCATTGGAGCTGTTGGGATCTGCAAATGCACAGTTGTATGTAAAAGTCCGGGTACTCTTTGGGCCTTAATTGACTTGTTGACAGGTCAAAAAGTGCCATAGTTGAAAAGACTGTCAGGGCATCAAAGGGAAGGCTTTTAAAAAGATCAAAGTACCTCCAACTTTCAGTTGTCTGACAAGTCACTGAGAAACGACAGTTAAAAGGAACTCTGAAAGTCAAGACAATATCTGCAAGGCTTAGAAAACTTTGAGCTAAAACTGCACCCCTGCTGTGCAAGAAATGAAAACAAATCAACGTCATGAATTCAAAAGAGCTGCTGGAAATTTTAACTGACAGAGGAGAGTTGGTGCACTATTTCACTGTGCAGTTCAGATGTGCAAACACAGGCTGCATGGAAGAGTCCTCCAAAGGAATCCTTACTTGCAGTCACTTCACGAAAACATCTGGATAAGTCAGAGATGCAGAGAGATAAAAAGTCTAGCCAGAATCATCATGTATATGTTTGGAAGAAAGAAAAAGCAGGTCTATAAGAAGACTGTGTGAACTGTTGAGTATTGATGCAAAGCAGACATCAGCTTTCATCACAATCAGAATACTTTATTAAATGAAGTTATGTGGTTACAGTTGCTTTCAATACAGTAAGAACAGTAACAGACTGAACTAAATTGCTTAATATAAGAAATAGCTCTAATACATACAAATAGCTCAATAATAAATATCCAGAATATTACAGAGATTATTATGTGATGTATTATGTGATTGATTGGAGTTGTAAGCTGGCGCTTTTGGAGGAGCTCTCACAGTTTTATGACTTAAACATCACTGAAAGTCAGCGGGGAGATCTTAAAGATGCTGTGTGCCTGCAAGCCGAGCGCACAGTTAGTAGTTGTGGGTCACAATTACTGTTTGATTAAAAAAAAACTAATCTTAAAGTCTGTTTGGTGGAGGGATTGTCTGCTTCATCTTCAGTGTGAGAGTCAGAGATTCCTGAAATGTGATACTGCATTTGGAATCAGTCCATAGGCGATGCTTACCACCTTGAAACCTCAGAATTAAGGAGATGTTCAAAAGGGCTGTTGGGCGTATCCAACAGATCTATTGGCTGGCCAGAAACCAAATTGAGAGGCTGCATCCTCCTCAGGACCTGGCCTTCGTAATCGAAGTGGGCCAGATCCTCCGAAAGCCGGGTAGGCCGGAAGTGAGCGACTGTGAAATTGGACAGTCTAGCCTTCAGAATTACGTCACGAACTCTCTCAGTGGAGTGAAATTCTGCCGCCTGCTCCTTGCTATCTAAAATATAAATTTGACCCTGCCATAAATTCTTGACCATCTCACACTTCTGTTTAATCAGTTTTCTGTTTGACGTTTATTCAGCTGTGTGAAAACCCCGGAGGAACCCTCCCGAGGGATTAACAAAGTTAAATTGAATCTAATCTAATCTAATAACTTTAATCTCAGCCAAACTGATTTACTCACGAACAAATAAAACACTGAAAAAAGTCCAACAATAGCAGTTTTAAGTTATCAAAGTGACTTATATATCATGTTTAATCTGAGTAGTGAAAGACCGCGGGGGTTGAAAACGATGTGCCGGGAGTTCGCTGTTCTCCTCGGCTCAGATATTTGAAGTTTACACAGCTACATTCTCGCCTGAAAATATGTTAAAAGTTTATTTTGTGACCCAGAAAGAGTAATAGGAGTAATATTAAAACTAAGTAGCTGCCGCCACAGTTGGAAACTGGAATTGGCTGGGCTGCGCTATGAATTCTGCGATATATGGTTTTTCAATTTTGTTGTCCGGGTGGAAAATTGGGAGAAATTCGGGAGAATGGTGGCTCCGGGAGATTTTTGGGAGGGGCACTGACATTCGGGATTCTACAGGAAAAATCGGGAAGGTTGGCATGTATGCCCTTGTAACATTTGCACAATTCTGACTTATAAACTTTTAAGGTGTTTTACTGTCTGGCCCTGTGTCTGTGCTACAGGACCTCAGGCAGACAACGCAGGAGCTGAGTAAGCAGTTGGAGGACAGACGAGATGAAGCCACATTGTAATCCTCACTCACAGATCCTCGTGCTTTAAAAGATTATACAGTATAGTGGGAGAGCTCATAATGTACTGCGTTACACTCTGTTTTTAGTGACCTGATGAGAGAGAAGAAACGAGTGCCCAACCGCCCTCTGTCCTTTGCAGAGGAAATTAAACTGCTGGCCTCAACAGCTGAAATGAATACCGGCATGACAGACTCCACAAATCTTGGAAATGTAGATGTCTGTATAAAGTTCAATAAAATAAATACAAACTAGAGAAACTGAGTTAGAAATGCTACATTAATGATGCCTGCTACAGTGTCTGCAGGAGGAAGCTAAGACTGAGGAGCTGCTGAAACCTCATCTTCCCGCAGTTAAGCTTCAGTCTAAAAGGTACTCAGATAGGATTTTGTACGTGATGGAGGCATCGTATTTCATTTTCTCGCTCATTATTCTCCCTCTTGCTTCTCAATCGTGTAAAGATGCCCAGGTACCTTGGAGAAAGCCATCTGGAGAGTGGGTTTCTTTATGCTGTGCATCTTCATTCTCATGATTATAGCCTTTGTGGCTTCAGGATGCTTTGCAGGAACATCTGACTTCTCTTCCTTCACCACTTTGTGGACTAGCGCCCACCTGATGTTACAGCCCTACTGGAGTGTACAATATGGGGCCTTGCCTCCCATTTGAGCTTAACTCTCCCTCTGGTCTACTCTTGTATTTCAGGGGGGTTTTTTTGTAAACATGAGTTCAGAAAACAAACAAATAAAACTTCTCATGATGCTGCTTCAGCCTCAGGGTCTTGCATGAGCTTGCTGATTGTCTATTGCACTGTTATGACATACAGAAACGTCTAGATTGTAAACCAACAGCATGTAGAGGCTGTGCTGATCAAAAAATCAAATTTGCAAAAGCAAGTATTTTAGCTATAGAAGAGGATTGGGGCCACTGGGGGGGAAAGTGGGCACATCTCTTCTTTTTTTCCAGAATTCCAAGAAAAAGGGCAGAATTCTGACTTTTTCTCAAATTAAAGTCAAAATTTAGAGGGAAAAAAAACCTGAATTCTGACTTTAATCTCAGAATTTTGAGATTAGTCAGAATTCTTTAGTCTCAGAATTCAGATAAAAAAGAATTCTTACATTAATTTCAGAATTCTCCATTCTGACGTTTTTCTGAGAATTCTGAGATTAAAGTCAGAATTCAGAGAAATAAGAGATTAATCTCAATTCTGACTTTAATTTTCTGAGATTAAAGTCAGAATTCTGACTTTTTTCTCGGAATTCTGGAAAAGGAAAAAAAAGACGTGCCCACTTTTTTCCAGCGTCCCTAATCCTCTTCCATACTTAACAGCAAAGGAGACCAGATCCAAATATTTTAAGTGAAAGGAGACCAAGAATAAAAGAAGCCTCCCCAAAACGAATAAATTATAGATGTTATGGCTCTCTTTGCAGTTTGCATCTTTTTTACTTTCACTTTTTTTGTTTTTATCTCATTTCATTGTCTTATCGTCTATGTTAAGTTGCATTGCGTATATGTCTTTATTCAACATCTTTCTGATCTTATTTTTGGACCTTACTTCACACAGAGGCTTTACTCCCTTTAACCTTTTGAATTTTCTTTTTTAATCGGTGAAAAAAATATATATACTTTTGGAAAATATTCTCATTCACCCCACAGAATCCCGGTGCCGCGCGCTTCACGTGACACTTGAATCATTGCTTCGTGTTATCAGTATTTCACTCGCGTCGCCCCACCCAGCTGAAGGCGCTCTAGTCTGTAGGTCCAGAAAAAAAAAACCCTCCTCCCCGACGGGAAAATCATAAACAGCAGCTCAGATTTAGGTCAGGAGGAAAGGGGGGATATTATCAAATAGGCGCTGGCTGATGATTCATTGTGTGCACGTATCCGCTGGATGTATGTGAAGCGTGTGGATGCTGCACGGTTCGTGCTGACTGACTCCCGGAGATGCTGTGGACAGGCCGAACCTGTTTAACATCCGCTTGCTTATTGGATGGAGCAAAGAAAGATAGACAATAAATCAGAATAAGAGATCAACAGGCCAGTTGTATTCGGTCTGAGAGCAGGAGTCCGAGGAAGAGGGGCAGCGGCATGTTCTGAGCGGAGAGCCGACGAGCGGCGGCAGCAGGCGGGATGAAGGCTCCGAGAAGACCGAGGCAGACGCGCCTCCTTCCGCGTTTCTGCGTCTGTGGAGTTGGTCTGTTCGCAGCCGCCTGGATCTTTCACTTCTGTGATGTTACAGGTGCGTATAAAGACTCTGATTTAAAGTTGTCTTACCCACTCCTATACTTTCATTATTTGCTATAACAAATCAAATTGCAGTATTAAGGCAAATGTCACGTTGTACAGATTATTTTAGCGGAATACTAGTAAAGAAACACATTAAAGTTGAATTTATATCCTCAAATAGCTTAACTGTATTTATATGTGAATTACTCTTTTTAGACTGCCATAGACCAACTGTGGATCACAGCAGCTCCTTATTCAAGAGAGAGCTCATCCAGCAAAAAGAAGACAACCAGACTGGGGGTGCTTCTAGATCTGGTGAGGTGCTTTACCACGTGTTTGTGTCTTTCACATACACTCTGTTTATAGGCGTGCATGATGCGCCAACAGGAAGATTATCTTTACAAAACTTTAAAAGTCTAATTGCATCAGTGTGTTGAGCTAGAATGAGCTCAGGTTTGGATAACCATGGCACTGAGTGTACAGTCACCATGACCTTCTGAGCCCTTGTGTGTTTATGGAAGTCAAAGTGTGCAATCTTCGTTTATCTCCTTAAATCAAGAACTATTTCCTCTCGTGCATTCCTTTACTCCTCTGGTCCACCTTTCCTTTCTTTAAATTTAGTACACATATGTTTTAAAAACAGTTAGGTCTTCGATGGTTGCTAGGAAACTGAGTTTGTGGTTTGATGTAGTGTGCATCTGGAGCTGTTCAAAGTGCCCGCTTGTGGTATTGACCCGCTGATTAGTAACCTCTCATCAGCCGCTCTACCATTGCTTATGCATGCTTGGATCTGTTTGGCTGCTTGAGATTTTTACAGAACACACTGAGCTGTATTCAGTCAGAATGAAGTTCCTGCCTCACGGAAATATAGTGCAGATCAACTTAAAAGCTTTGTTCAAACTATCATATTTCTATTTTTAAGAGCATCATGTGGTTTCTGGTGCTAAAAATATACAGTTTGATCATGATCTGAATTAAACCAACATCACGCCATTTCTGCCTCTTAGGTGTGATTTGTGTTTGCCTCTAACTGCACATTGATATCTCTTTCACTTTTAAAAGCGGTTTAAAAAATCTGACGTACAGTTAAATCAGAAAACCTTGAGGGTAAGTCACTTGGGAGGCTGCTTTTCAAATTATTGTTGCGTCTGTATCATGAAAAAAAGCTTTGTTGCAGTGAGCTGTGGTATTTATGAGCTTATGTGCAAGACAGTGCAGCCAAGCAAAGCAATCGCTTTCTGCTGGGAGGAGAAAGGCTGTGACGCATGGTGACGCTCAGCCAAATTAGATGCCTCTGAACTTCAATATAATTGGAATTGCTTTTAGAAGAACTGACAAAGAAAGTCAATAAAACACTTGTTTTTGGATGGCGTGGGGGATAGTGTGAAGTCATAAGAGGAGCATGGAAAATACAGCTGTAATGCAATTGGACTCCTGGTTGTGTGACTTTAAACTCAAGCTGTGTCTAGACAAGATACAGGATACATTCAACAAACTGAGATACGCCAATTCTAGATCTGACGCATGCAAGAATAAATGCTCGCAGTTTCAGGGTGGAGCTGAGTTATAATTCTAATCACAGCCTTCATTTAACCACCTACCTGAGGCTCTTCTCTGAACTCCAAGGGAACAAATCCTCCTTTAAAGAAAGTGTGTTAAAGTCACTGTGAGTTAATTTTGAGACGTGACAGAAAATAATCTTCAGATATCAGAAGATCAAAGTGCAGGTTTTAGGGAGTTGTGTTTAAAATGTAATGTATTAGAATACTTGTTAACTGGTTTTTGTTGTCCAACACTGTTACCTAATTCCACACGTCATTCGATTACACTCTATCCATCTTTTCCCAAGCTATCAGTGAGTTTCCTGAAGACGTCTTTACTGTGGATCAAAGGAGACAGGGTGCAGTCCTCCTTCATGTTCTCTGTGTGAGTATCACATCTGTCTGAAAGCCTGCGTTTGACATAATAAGAAGCTGTATTTTCTCTTATTTTCGTCTTAAACCAAATCTTCAGTAATGCGTTTGCTGTATTTCTCAGGCTATCTACATGTTTCACGCACTGGCCATTGTCTGTGATGTTTACTTTGTGCCATCACTGGAAAAAGTGTCAGAGGTAAGATGCACAAATCTATAATGGCTGAAAGTAAAGTAATACTTGATAGTTTCTCATTCTACTCTAGGTATTAAGTAAAAAAACAACAACAAAAAAAACCTTTAAAGGGGAAGAAGCGAGTGTATTTTTTTTACTGGCTGTAATTCGTCTCTAAAGACACGAAACAATAGTGTGTTAGTCTATCAGAACTCTCTGTTTAAGCCTTGTGGTATTAAATTATAAACTAGTGGTCATGTTCATTGGACAAATGTAACCTTAGTTGATGTTTTTGTAGTAGTTTTTGGACAGCAGTAGAGGTCTTTGGCTACGGCAGGCTCTGGATAAACACACTGTATTTTTTAGGATCAGTCCTGTGACAGAAGAATGCCAAATATGACCATCCTCATCCTTAAGCCTGTTTAATCTCCCCTCTCCATCCACTAGAACCTTCAGCTCAGTCAGGATGTTGCCGGGGCAACCTTCATGGCAGCTGGGAGCTCCGCCCCTGAGCTTTTCACTTCTTTGATTGGTCAGTATCCCAGTCAGTCATTCCCTTCAGCTGGTTAGATCAATATTTCTGCCATCAGTGCTCCAATTAGAGGCAATTGGAGAGACAATGTCTAATCAGGACAGAGAAAAGTGCACATAGGGAGCCAGCAGTGATTAATTTCAGCCATTTATCATTAATCATAGATGTCGAGAAGACGACGTTTATTTTTGCTTGATGGTTTATCATGTCACTGTGGAGCAGGGTTTTTTTTATCATAAGCAGTGTTTCAGTAAATAAACTTTCACTTTTTTTAAATAAAATAAAAAAAATGTAAATAAAATTAAATAAAACCTTTATTTTATATTTTGGAGTTTATGTTCAGATTTTTCCTGCTATTCCAGAGTCTATAGTTCTGTGTTTACTTAACTGTTTTCCTAGTGGAGGGTTGTGTTTGTCCGTGTATTTTGTTTTCTGTTTTCAGCTCATTATTCCAGCCTCCCCCTGTGTTGTGTTTTTATTTTTTAGTGTGAGCTTTCATATCTCTGTGTTTAGCTGGGTGCTGTTGTTATTTTTACTTTGTTAGTTAGTTGTCTCTTGTCTCTTGTTTTGAGTTTCACTCACTCCCCTGCATCATTGTCTTGATTGTGTGCTCCTGTGTCTCATTTCATTCACTCCCTCTTTGAGTAAACAGTCCTGTCTCCATTGTAGCCCCTGTCAGATACTCTGTGTGTTCACTGAGTTAGTCTCTGTGTTTTTAAGCTGTGCTTGTCATCCCCAGCTCTGTTTCTTTTTTTCTGGGACTTTCACTCTAAGCTTATTGATAAGTACGTTAATCTGAGTCCAGGTCTGTGCATTAAGCTCAGACATGTCAAAAATTCAACCAGTTCAAAGGAATAAACGTTTCCAAGGTGAATATATTATAAGATAAGATGTACGTTATTTATCCCAGATGTGGGAAATTCTTTT